GATAGCTGTTCTGGGCCACGTCTTCATAGGAGCTTTTGGATGCTTCCAGAGTTTTGTAGACCAGAGCGTCCTCTACAGGGTTGGCCATGAATAACAGCCCTGATCACACACACACACACACACACACACACACACACACACACACACACATAATGAGAGGGAGGAGTTCACATGAAGGAAGAAAAACTACACATCGGTTCATCAACTGGACCAATAGTGAGGAAAAAACACTGATAAACATGTAAAAGTGTCAGTGTCAGCCCAATTTTACACATAATTTCACAATGCAAAGTGAACTCCCGCTCCGGTCATGGAGACCAGACAGCCCTTACCAGAGTGTCTCATACCCCATTCTCCCAGAGCACCACAAGCGACACTGCCGAATGTCTTCTCCATCGTATAGGCAAGTTAACCAACACAGCCCCACAACATCCAGAGACTGGAGGTGTTCAGGGTGGATCTCCTCCACCTGCTGCTGTGCCTCTGTGAAGCTTCAGTCTCCCTCAGTGACCTCAGCATGGGTGATGGAGGAGTCCACCCCCGCATGCCCGTCTCTGCTTCCTCAATGGAAGGTGTGTCAGTGGGATCCTCAGAGTATTGCTTCCACTGTCCGACAACATCCTCAGTTCAGGTCAACAGGTCTCCACACTTCTGCTGTAAACAGTGCTGGTGTAGAAGTGCTTCCCTTTGCTAAGGCACTGAACGGTTTCCCAGAATCTCCTTGAGGCAGAAAGGCACAAGTTTTAGTTTCACCACCTGCCTCTTGTGTCTCCAGCCTCCTTCTGCATGTGGTCAAAGTTCTTCAGGTGAGAGTTAAAAATCCCTCTGACAGTCGAGTCCAACTCTCCATCAGGTGTTGATCAGTGGACAGCTCTGCCCCTCTCTTTACCCGAGTGTCGAAGACGTACGGTTGAGGATCAGATGAAACAACCAGAGAGTTGATCATGACCGCTGGCCTAGAGCACTGATGGACTCCTGTATGCTGAACATGGGGTTTGTTATGGACAAACTGTGACTAGTACAGAATGCTACAACAGAACACTCGGACTCAGATCAGGGAGGCTGTTCCTGTCGTGTCCACATGGGTGTTGAGGTCTCCCAGTAGAACAAGCTAGTCCTTCGAGAAGGTGGGTACTCTGCACTGCTGTTGGTCCGGAGGCACAAACTACAGTGAGAGACTCATCCCTGACCTGGAGATGCGGCGAGGAAACCCTGTCATTCACCAGGGAAAACTCAGCAAGCCCACACCAGCCCGCCGCCTCTCACCGTGGGCATCTCCAGAGTGTAAATAAGAGAAATCCCCCATATTTGTGTCATTACAGCATGCTCTATTAATCCTCCAGCATTTCTCTTCTCATTACCTTTCCAGTTGTACGTCCCCGGAGCTCCGAGCAGCAGGAAGTTGCGGTCGGGACTGAAGCTGGCGGACAGACCCTGCTGGCAGAACCCGAACTGCTCATGACCTTGAGGACGACCTTCACAAAACTTCCACTCTCCTCCGTCCAGATCGTCCCGCTCCGTCAGATCCGCGCTCAGCACATAGCAGCGGCCCACGGGGTCACGAGTCTCAAACGACTGATTCACATGCTGTCTGAGCTCGTACAGGTGCGCACACACCTGTGTTCACACACACACACACAGAGAGACAGAGATCAGGACACGGTCACCTGTGTGCGTATGACTGCATATTACTGAGTTCATACAAAGGCTTTACCTTCGTTAGTATTACTCAAAAATAACCAGTGCATGCTAGTGCAGGACTGACGGTGCGCGCCAAATGCGATATACCACCCTATAAAGGGCACTTTAGAATGAAAACAATCATGTCTTCTGTGCTGAAGTACTGATCCAAACCCGAGTGCTCAAAACAGGCCACTTTAAAGAGCCCTTAGGATGTCACACACTACACTCCATGTGTTTCATCCCTATGCCCTAATCCCCCACAGTCACTCTGGAGGGTGAACCCTTTGAAGGCATTAGGGCATATGGATGAACTCCAGATGGAACACAGTGTAAAGCTGGAGTTCTATCACTCCTTCATGATGTTACTGTACACCTTCAGTGTAAATAACTCATGTTCAGTCTGATCTACCTGCCGCAGGTGTAAGACACACTCACCACCACCTTCCCCCCTGCGCCCTGGCTCTTGACCGTGACCCCAAACCACTGGTTGTCTTTGTTCTCTCGGTCCAGATTCTCTGGAGGAAACAAAACACACTTCAGTGAAGATATTTCAGATGAGGGGAAAGACCCTCACAGTGCCGAGAGGAGATCCTCTGCAGCGGTGTTGGGTTGTCTACAGCTGCTCCTGGTGTGCTGGAGTCTCCCACAGTCAGAGAAATATTACAGTAATGCTCCTCAGTTTAAGATTTTTTACATATTTGGACTGAAACAGGAGAAACACTCAAAGCAGAAAGGTGCAGCAGTGTAGCAAGTCCTGATTATTGTGGGAAGTGTGTGTTAGATGGAGGTGTAGTGCAGTGTTTACCGTGTGCGTCCA